GGTTGGTTTCTCACAAGGGTTTTGGACCAGAGAGTGTGGGGAGAGTGATGGGGAACTTGGTTTCTTTGATGAGAACCATTATTGGTTTAGGCTGGCCACTGCTCTTAAGGTGAGGTTTGACTACGGCAAACATTCACTGAAATTAATGTGTCAAGTGTCAAGCTTCAGGTTTAGCTGCATGGGGAACCTACACATGAATCCACCAGCAATCCACATTGGCCTGAAGGAGTTCATGAATGTGCATGACCTTTGGCCTAGGTACCGACCTGATGGTTTCCTTCATCCTTCAGATATTCTGTGGACCACTGACTGTGCCAGAGTTATGCACACCACCATTTCAGGCAAGGGCATTTGTAAAAACTGTCATCACTTTGCTGGCAGACAGGAAAGGTTAAATTCACCAGGGGCTCAGGTTGATGGTGAGCACAATCCTCCACAGCAAGCTGTCTGCTTGAATGGTTTCATACCTACTGTCTACTCCTTGCCAACTCCTCTGACAGGCAGGCTTAAGAAGCTCCCCTGACCACCACCGTACAGCCTGCTTAAACAGGTTTCTAGCCCGGTATTTTTAGCAGTCCTGCTCACACCCCTTGTACCTTCTCTCTGCATTTCAGTCTTGCTGTCAGGTGATTAGGCACTGTACCCAGTGCCAGGATGGAAGCAACTCTATATGAAGGAGTTTTGGACTGGAGGGAGGAGGTCAAGATTTTAAAAATTCAAGTTGAGCTTCTCTGAATTAACTTTGGCAATGCCTGAAGAGGCAGCAGCTGGATGTGAAATGCTGTGTTTCACTAGCAGGAGGCTCTATCTGGAGCATATTGTACCCATCCAATTAGGATCAGTCTCACTGGCTATGCCAGTCCTTCTTAGGCTGGAAAACCACTTTAATAAAGATTAGCAACACTGCAGTACTCATGCCTACATATTGCAGCACAAGCTCTTTTGAAAGCCATGAGCCACCTCTTTAACTAGGAGAGGGACTGCCATGGGCACATCCCTGTATACAGACAAGCAGGTTTTGTCCTGATGCCATTAACTCTCTGTAATAACTGGAGGTTTTTGCTATGGGGCTGTCTGCCAGGAGCAGAATATCACCAAAGGAAAACAACATTCAGAAAAGCCAGGAGAAGGAACTGGCTGGGAGATCCACATATCTGAATTACAAAGAGAGAGAGAGAGAGAGGAACTTCTCTGAAAAAAACAAAAAAGATGAAACAGAATTTAACCAGATAAAATGAGGCTCTATTTCAACACACCATAGTTTCTTATTGAGAAACAAATGATACAGCCACCTTTGTTGCATAGAGAAAAATGTATTTGTGAGGTTATATAGCTAAAGCCACTTGCTTGCTTATGTAACTGCTTTCTCCTTGTCAAAGAAGAAGCAGAATCTTTGTATCTGGTTGTCACATACTGTGAGAGGGTGTCTGTCCAGAAATGACAAAGAAGATTGCAGCAAGATAAACTAATCCCACCAATCTTCATCTACCTAAATTACCTACTTCAAGGCAAATACATGCTAGCATTGATTTCCAGCCCTTCTCCTGCATTTTTAATTCCTTGTCCTTCCAGTGTATGGCCCAGGTAGGCTTGATACACTCCTAGCTGCCACTGGGGTAAGGACAAATGGGGGGTATGGTTGCACAGATCTCCCTGAGGCAGCATTTTTCTAGCTAGTTCAGATATGCAGCTAAGAAACAGCAGTGCAAGGTATACCACAGGCAATTTGCCTACTGCAGAATGTAGTCCAGAAGAAATTTGCCCCAAGTATAGCATTATTGCAGCTGTGCAGCTTTTATGTCATAAACTGCAAATGTTAAAAAACCTCTTTGAGCAGTAGTCATCAGTATTGATTTTCTCATACCTTGAATTTCTTGAAACTCTGTTATACTGGACAGTGGAAATAAGCTGCAATATGCTAACCCAAAACTGTGTATATAAGCAACTGCAAATCAGATGCTTTGAATTGTGCTTAGTTTAAGGCTTTAATGTCGTAAGCTCTCTTACTTTTTAGGTAAGGAATGATGGGGGGGCTTTACTTCATGTGGTTATTTGGAGGTCAGAGATTACATAATAAAATAAGTTGTGAGAAGCCTCTGGAGACTATCTTGTCCAACCCCAAATCTAAGCAGGGCTAGCTTAAATCAAGTGGCTTAGGCTGTTAACCAGTCAAGTTCAGAGTGTCTGCAAGGTCTGAGACTTGACAGCCTCTCCTGGCCCACATCAGACTGCTCTCATAATGAAAACATGTTTTACCTCGTATGTAACCAGAATTTTCCTTGCTGCAACTTGTAGTCATTGATCTCATCCTTCCACCGTGCACCTTCAAGAATAATTTCTATTTCTACGAAGTTCATATGTTCCAACTTGCTCCAAGTCTGACCTAGTAATAAAGCAGATCTGCAGAGGACAAATGAGCCTGATACTGAATTTAAAGGAGCTATACTGCTTTATCAGCGTGGGGGATCTGGCCCTTCCAATGTCAACAGTAAGGCAATGTATAGACACCTGTATCTCTAAGCATCTGAAAATGCTGACATATTTAGCTGCCTTGTATTTTCAGGCTTGGTTTCAGCAGCCAGCTAACCTGCAAATGACTTTCACAGAGCATAAAAGCACACTTGAATATCCCCAGCTTTTACATAAAAAATAGCTCAGGAAACTCAGACAGAGTCTTATTTCCCCAGAGACTCTAGAGCCACATTTGAAAAGCCAAAGTTCCACACTTCCAACACTTCCTAGTCCTACATCTTCCACCCACATTTTTATTAGACTGTAATTCTGAATGCTGTTGTTTGCTATGGGATCTCTAAGCTGAGGTCCCAAGGCAAAGGGAACTATCAAAGCTACAGTCAGAAAAAGTTTAATCTTGCAAGAGAAAATGTTAACACTGAGTCCCAGATTTTTTTGCATTTCTTAATAGTTTTTAAAAAAATTTAAAATGGAATGACTGATTACTTATTGAAAAAAAATACACTTTTCTATATTCCCTGCTGGCAAAAGCCTTGATTAGGTCACAGGAGTCTATTTTGTTAGCATATTTGATTTCATATCTAGTCAAAATCAAAATTTGTCCTTCAGTCTCTACTGGCCCATAACTGACCTCATGTTACTGCATTTTGTTCCATCTCATCATGGGTTTCAGCTTTGCAAAGTCTGGTTTCAGTAGGATTGATACTTCTGAGCGCTGTGCAGACCCTCCCCTTACGTAAGAGTTGTCTACAACACAATTCAGCTTTCCAGAAAGAAAAATGTGAAAGATTTAGAGTGAGTTAATGGGGAGTTTCTTTTGCTCATCACCAAGTTATCTGGGTCATTTTCATACCCAAGAAGCTGGTATGAGACACCAGGAACTCTCTAAAGCCATGCTCTCTAGTCCTGGACATTTCTGAAGTGCCAGCAGGACAGAGTATATTGAGCTGTATAATAAATGTGAGGTGAAAATCCTCAAGAAACAACATTACAAACTGGGAACCCTATCTTATCTCCAGGGGATGTAGTGTCCTAAGATTTCTGCTATCAGCACTGATATTTCCCTTTTCTTGCATATAGCAATAAACCCTCTTTACAGTAATCTTTTGGGAAGGTTCAAGTAAATGGAATCAGGGCTTCTTAGGAGAAGGTGCCCTTTATACCTTCAGCATAAACACACAGGAATATTTCTCATTTCAAAGCTCTGCCCCAGTAGTGCCAGCAAGATTCAGTGGAAATACTGTTTTTCTCTTGAGTCTAAAGCTAGTGCTGCAGTTTAATGAGTAGTAGTACTTTGATAGGCTGGTAGAAAGTCTAATGATATGGATTTAACTGTGTTGGACATCAGCTTTATTAGGCTGTTTCTGAGACATGGTAGTATTGACAGTGTTTATGATAAATGACACTCCTCAGTTATTCTTGCATGACTGGTTTCTTTTCAAAGTCCCCAGAAGGTTTAGAAAAGATGAAATATTCACAATGGTGTCGTGTCTGGGCTCCTCCATACCAAGCTGATGAACAGAATATTTTAATCCTTATTTTCTTTGTCAACAGAGTCACAACAAGGTTTTGATTACAGAATGAAAAATGTCATTTTCTGGTCAGATGAGTTTTCCGAGCTCATTAGAAAAACCCTGTGATTCACAGTGCTTGGGGTGTGGCTTTTTGTACTGGTCACTCAGTGTCAGTGGGAAGATACTCCATTTGTGAATCAGAGAAGAGTCCAGCTTTGGGATGGGGTTGACCTCCATATTCTGCAGCTGCTTTTTCCTCTTCCTTGCAAGACCTTCAGCATCATTTTGGAGCAGCCGAGACCTCATTCTAACTTACATCAAGTTCTATACAGAGTTCATGATTGAAATGAAATATCCTGGTGTAAGAGGGCATTTTCAAAACATTATAGGAGTGTTGAGGGAAGTACTTTTTGTGATCACACCACAACAGGTGAAGCAGTGTTGCAGTCTAGGAGTCTACTTAGGAATTCACAGCATCTAAACTTCTGCATGGGCTCTAACGCCTTACTCTTAAGGTTAAGTTAAAGTTAAGCTTGTTTAGAAAGTCCTGACACCACAATAGTACAGTCAGAAAAAACACCTTTTCTTTGCAACTGCAAAGTTAAACTGCTGGCTATCCCTGCTGCTGTATGAATGGTATGAGAAGAGAACAGCAGTCACTCAGGGGTCAATGGCTGGTCCAACACTGAAGGACTTTGGTGACAAACTCATTGCAGGGCTAGTGCGGTTAAAATACACAGGCATTTGTAGCTGTTGACATGCGTTGTATCTGTGGAATTAGCAGTGCAAATGGATACTTTTGACTCATTTCTTTAATGATAAAGGAGTTAATTCACATTGTCTGCTAAAGAATGTCAGGCGCCAGTCACCTGTGATAAGTACACGTCTAGAACATGTGGCAGATGCCATCCCAACTGCAGAGCAATTTACAGAAATTGCTGCACCTCTGAATCTTCTTGTGGTCCTGTAGCCTTTTCCTGTAAAAAGAAGTACGTCTTTCCTTGGTTTTCACAGCTGAGAGGAAAGGGAAACGAAGAATCCGGACAACATTCACAGCTGAGCAGCTCCAGGAACTGGAGAAAATTTTCCAAGTGACTCACTACCCAGATGTCCATATTCGCAATCAACTGGCAGCAAAGATAAACCTCCCAGAAGCCAGAGTTCAGGTACTGTACGTCTCCAAAAGGCTATGTTCACTGCAATTCATTCATTATTTGGCATGCTTAATAGTTTGTGCCTGGGTGGCAATGCTAATGAGATACGTGACCTCTCTCTTACCCTACAGACGAGGCCAGTATCACTCTTGTCTTCCTACAAATAGGGAAAGAAGTATTTGTCACCCAGCTGTGACTAACCAAATGGAATTAATCAAAGGGTTAACAGGAGCTCCCAGCTTACTAAATGCATAGCAAATAGGAGTTACAGGTGGTTATGAGCAACCTGTTGGACTCTGTAGCAACAGAGCAGCCACTTATGGAAATATTTATTAATCATTTATCAACCATTTATAGGCTAATATTCATCCAGTACAAACTGTCATCCACATCCATCTTCCACAGAGTCTCAAAAAATGTGAAACTAATTGCCAAAATGGAAGTGCTTCTTAGTGTTCTGTATTTTGATATCACAGGCTGTAAATGGCCTGGCTATAATTTCAGTGCACAGAAACTAATGCAGTTTCCCCCAGTTGTAATATAATGTTGCTGACTGAGCTAAAAATTGATGTCAAATTCTTACTGCATAGTAAATCTCCTACATTAAAATGTACATACCACTCTGTACTGGCATTTGGTGTTGTCTACCAGGCACTGTAGTGATGATTTTTGCTTGAGACAGTTTTTGCACTTGCCCCAGTGCTATAATCATTGGTGTATTTTTTTGCATATATCCCTCTCTAACAATCAAAGTTCAACACAGAGCTGTTTATTGACTATGGCATGCCTGGGACTATTGGCTAGCCATGATAATGTTGCTTCATCGTTAGGTGACAGGGAGAATTAGACCTGCATTGCCACAATACGCCCATTAGCAATACCAGTACACCAACAATGCATTTCCAACAGCATAAAACACAAGCTGGGCTGCCAGCAGTCAATGTTCTCCACAGAACAATGAATCATGTGAAGGAACCAGACATGTTTTTGTTTAAAAAAAATTAATCGCTATGGGGAAAAATAAAAATGAGTTATTATGGGTAACATCAACCTGAGATGTGAATGAAAGAAGTAAAAAGTCTCTCATGTATGAAGTGCAGATGGCAAATTCCCAATCCAGTCAGTGTTATACAAGACACAGGAAATTCTGTCTTTGACCTCATCCTGGCTGATAAAGGGAAATCAGCCACAGAACTAAAAATTATCAGTAACTTGGGTTCAAGTTTCAAGTTATAGTTTTGATTGACTGCATTTGTCACACAAGTCAAATAGCACACAGAGAATTTGTGTGAGCACACAAAGAATGTGCTCTTGCTACTTTGAAATAACAGTTTTGACAAAGCTTTTAGCTTTGTGTCAGTCAGATCACCTCAGAAATATAACTTAACTGTCAAATAAGTAAGTGAACACCCATTCAGTGACCAAATGAAACCCTTCATAACTGTGACAAGTCTTGTGTCTTCCATTCAAGAAAAAAAGTTATGATTGCTGTGAAACAGCTTAAGTGGATAGATGAAATTGTATAACTGCATGTGTTACACAGAAAAAATTAAGAATCCTGTATGAATAAACGTGAGAAAAAATAAATTATAAAAAATAAATAAGCAAAGCAGGAGGGTGCAGGCCAAAGCTTTGATCAGAATAAATTAAGGATCAAAAACTCAATAAAAGTCAATTAAGAACAAAAAAAAAAAAAAAAACTAAACCCAAAGTGATCAGTTATACTGATCTGTTACTTTATAGAAACAGTAGGACTGTCAGTGATAGTGCATAAATGTCAGAGATGTTCTCTCATAATTTCTGCTCTATCCTTGGAAATATGTCAGGTAAGGTGGCAGCACTTTCTATAAGGATAATGTTGAACAGCAGCTGCTACAGACAGATAATTTTTAATCTACACATCTAAGTAACTTACCTGCAGTGGTTCTGAAAAAGCTGCTTGAGAAGCAGTTTGGGTCATCGGTGTTGATATTTAATCAGTTCTGGAGCATGGGAGACATTCCATTCCAGGGGCCTTGAAGAAATCGAATGTTACGTCAGTATTTAAAGGGTAAACAGGACAAGCAGATAATGAGTGGCCTGTCAGACAAACATTGATTTTTGGCAAAACTGTGAAAAGGACTGTATATTCTGTTAATGGGGAGTTAAAGAAAATGTAATGTATTTAATGCTTATCAGCACTGGTTCATGAAAATAGACACTGCCAAACTCATCTTTTTATGGTGAGATTATTAGTGACAGTTTTAAACTGAAAGAAGGTATATTTACTTTGTGTATGAGGAAGAAATTCTTTATGGTGATACTGGCAAGACACTGGAACAGATTGCCCAGAGAAGTTGTGGGTGTCCCATCATTGGAAGTGTTCAAAGTCAGGCTTAATGGCACTTTAAGCAGCCTGGTCTAGTGAAAGATGTCCCTGCTCACAGCAGAAGTGTCGGAACTAGATCTTCTTTAAAAGATGCATTCCAGCTGAGACCAGCTCTATGTTTCTGTGATTCTGTGTATTTGGTTGATAAAGGTATGATACCTGTGGTAGACAGAGCACGCAGAGTAGGTTTAAAACACAATAAAAAGAACTCATGCTGGGTATTGAGAAATCATTTTAGACAAAGGGGTGCTGGAGAGCTGGTTGGACAAAAAAGAGCAGTTTGGTCTGAAAAGTGTTAAAATCTTTGCCTTTAGTTATAAAAAGTAAGTCCATGAAGTGAGAGCGTTATTCCACGTGCAGATTTTAGAAGGAGTGCTTCAGAGACTGAATATTGGCTGGAGTGCCCCCTTTGCCCTCTATCACTTGGTGAGTGTTAAATGGTGCTGTTTCATCATATAACTCCTGCATGGTAGAAAGGGAATGGAGAAGTTCATACACACTAAGCAGTTTCCAGACACATGCAAAGCCAGATAAACAAAACTGTCCTCTCAGTAACCCCAGATACTTCTATCAGCAATATAGCAGCTACCTATCAGCAATATAGCAAAGGGCTCCTGACATTCCCATTACTTCTTGGGTGAGAGATGCAGAAATAACTGAGCTGCTCATTATTTGGCTTAAAATACATATGGATTTACATCCAGTAGCACCTGGCTTCAATAACTAACACTTTGTGTTCATGTGATCCACCTGCTTACATTCAAACAGCAAGTCCCTTAGTAAGCTAGAAACT